CAGTTCCTCCGGAGGGCCAACAACAGGGCAGAGAGGCCGAGGCCTTCCCCTCATAAGGACATCAGAAGAGCCCTGCTGGGTCAGACCAGTGAGGGTCCCTCCAGTCCAGCATCCTGTCTCACACAGTGGCCCCAACCAGTTCCTCTGGAGGGCCAATGAACAGGGCAGAGAGGCCGAGGCCTTCCCCCATAAGAACATCAGAATAGCCCTGCTGGACCAGACCAGTAGTCCATCTTGTCTAGCATCCCATCTCACACAGGGGCCAACCAGTTCCTCTGGAGGGCTGACAACAGGGCAGAGAGGCCGAGGCCTTCCCCCATAAGAACATCAGAATAGCCCTGCTGGACCAGACCAGTAGTCCATCTTGTCTAGCATCCCATCTCACACAGGGGCCAACCAGTTCCTCTGGAGGGCTGACAACAGGGCAGAGAGGCCGAGGCCTTCCCCTGATGATGATGATGATAATAATAATAAGAAGAAGAAGATTGGACTTATACTCCACCCTTCACTCAGAGTGGCTTACCCTGTCCTTTCCCTTCCCCTCCACACAACAGACACCCTGTGGGGGAGGTGGGGCTGAGACAGCTCTTTCAAGGATTGCTCTTGAGAGAACAGCTCTGAGAGAACTTGTGACTGACCCAAGGTCACACCAGCGGCTGCATGTGGAGGAGATAACATTTGTCCCACTATCCTGAGAGCCAGCATAGTATAGTAGTTAATAGTGTTAGACTAGTATCTGGAAGACTCAGGTTCAAATCCCCACTCGTGTCACGGAAGCTCGCTGGGTGACCTGGGGCCAGTCACATTCTCTCAGCCTAACCTGCCTTGTAGGGCCATTTTGAGGATAAAGGAGAGGAGAATGACATAAGCCACTTTGGGTCCCCGTTTGGGAGAAAGGCAGGGGGTCAGTGAATTAAATACAATAAATTCTGTGGGCTCCTTTATGGTGCGCCAAACACCTTAGGGGAGAGCTGCGCATGAAGGCCCCCCCCCCCCCCCCCCCCGCCGCACAGCTGTCTTCTTTCCCCACCCCTAACGCATCATCGCTCTCTCCTGGTCTCCGCTCCCTAGGATGGCCGGTTTCGACGGCTCCGCTTGGGACGAAGAAGAGGACCCGCCGCCCGATCACCAGTACTATAACGACTTCCCTGGGAAGGAGCCGCCCCTGGGAGGCGTGGTCGACATGCGCTTATGGGACGGAGCCGGGGCAGCCCAGACGCCCAACCACCTGGGGGCCACCCTGGTAAGCAGAAGGAAATGCCGGCTGCGGGGCCCTTCCTGTGTTGGCACCGCCACCCTGCTGCCTGCCGGCACACTCAAGGTGTATGTCGGAAGCCATAAATGGCATGATGCCTTTGGGTTGCCGGGTGGGGTTGCCAGCAATGTTCCCTCTAAGCTGTGGAGTCTTGTGAGCAAAAATTCTACTTTGTGAGCTACTGGCATTAAAGTTGTGAGCGAGTGATTTGGCTGCTGCATAGATTAGCTTGCTCTGGAGCCATCTCTTCCTGAGCCAAGTCAAAAATATGTGAGCTAGAGGCTAAAAAACTGTGAGCTAGCTCACACTAACTCAGCTTAGAGGGAACAGTGGTTGCCAGCCTCCCGGTGGGGCCTGGAGATCTCCCGCTATTACAGTGGATCTCCAGACAGCAGAGATGAGTCCCCCTGCAGAAAACGGCTGCTTTGGAGGGTGGACTCTTGTGGCATTCTGCCCTGCTGAGGACCCTCCCCTCCTAAAACCCCGCCCTCCCCAGGCTCCACCCCCAAAGTCTCCCAATAGGTCTCCCCTCCTGGCACCTGGCAGTCGAACACACAAAGTTTGCCTTCTGCTGAATCAGACCCCCTCTGTTTATCGAAGTCGGTATTGTCTCCTCTGACTCACGGCGACACTCCAGGGTCTCAGGTATTTCATGCTGCTCTGTCCTTCCTGCTGGAAATGCCAGGGATTGGACCTGGCATTTTGGACCCATGTGAAGCTGCTTCACACTGAAACCAGAACCTTGGTCTGTCAAAATCAGTACTGTCAACTCTGACTTCCAGCCGCTCTCCAGGGTCTCAGGTGGGGCGACTTCCACATCGCCTACTACCTGATCCTTGCTGCAGGTGCTGGGGATTGAACCTGGGACCTTCTGCATGTCAAGCGGAAGCGAAAGGGGCTGTAGCTCAGCGTCTGCTTGGCGTGCAGAAGGCCCCAGGCTCAATCCCCAGCATCTCCAGTTAGAAAGTATGGGGAAGACCTCTGCCTGAGACCAAAGCCCCCTCTATGCTGTGGAGTCTTGTGAGCAAAAAATTCTACTTTGTGAGCTACTGGCATTAACGTTTGTGAGAGATTTGGCTGCGGCATAGATTAGTTTGTTCTGGAGCCATCTTTCCTGAGGGAAGACAAAAATGTGTGAGCCGGAGGCTAAAAAAACTGAGCTAGCTCACACTCACTCAGCTTAGCGGGAACACTGCCTGAGACCCTGGAGGGCGGCTGCCACCCTAAGTAGGCGATACTGACCTTGATGGACCGAGGGTCTGATCCAATACAAGGCGGCTTCACGTGTTTCCAGAGCTCTGCCCCTAAGCCACGGCCCTACCCAGGGTTCTGTTTTGCCCTCACAGCAAACAAGTGTCGACAGACTTCACTGTTGTGAGTTTTGTCTGATCTTTTTTCAAGTGTCTGATTTCTAAAAGCCCCCTAAGCCGGTCGGCCGCCTTTTGGCGAAGAGTTCCATAAGCGGATGACGTCTTGCATTCCGCTTGAACTTCCAGCCTTCAGCTCCTCTCCCTCCCCGCCCCAGGTCTTCAGCCGCTTTGTTTACCCTTCCAGTGCATTAAACTCTGGACTCTCTTTCTCTTCCTGCAGCCGGTAGGTCAGATGGCCGGGGGGGACTGTGACGCCAGGAAGCCGCCCCCCATGGCTCAAGGTACGCCTTCCGGTTTTTCTTCATTACTCTGGGAAGCAGCTGCTCAGTGGAAAAACCAGTGGCTGTGTGATATGGCTCATTCCCCACTGCTGGATCGGTGGACTCCCCTACAGACCCGTAGCCAATATTTGGTGGCTCGTGGGGCAAACTTTTTTTTTTCCGGTGGGGCTGAAGTTCTCAGTGCAGAAAGAAAAGCCATTTAGCCAATAGGAAGCTGTGACCAGGATAGATCTCTAAATTGCAAACTGTCAACCAGTTTAGAGGACAGTTCTCAGCTGCTGCAAGTTAATCACTTCTGCCAGCCAAGCAACAATTCTGCTAACAAGCCAGCAGGGGGAGGTAATAACAAGCCAGTTTGGTGTAGTGGTTAAGTGCGCAGACTCTAATCTGGGAGAACCGGGTTTGATTCCCCACTCCTCCACTTGCACCTGGCTGGATGACCTTGGGCAAGCTTAGCTCTGATAAGAGCTGTCCTTGAAAAAGAGCAGTTTCTGTCAAGAGCTCTCTCAGCCCCACCTACCTCACAGGGTGTCTGTTGTGGGGAGGGGAAGAAAAAGGAGTTTGTAAGCTGCTCTGAGACTCCCTTGGGTAGTGAAGGGCAGGGTATAAATCCAATCTCTTCTTCTATAGTCAAGAAAGCTAATGCTTAGGCAGAAAAACTCCTTGACACAGAGTTCGAAGGTATCCTAGAGGTCACCTACTCCAACCCCCTTGCTCAGTGCAGGCGGAACTGCACAAGGTCCCACAGGGACTGCACAAGGTCCCACAGGGCCCGAGTCTCTTCCAGAAGCTCATTCCACCAGATAGGAGCCGCCACCGAGAAGGCCCTGGACCTGAATAAAATCTTTCTCCTCCCGCCCTCCTCTCCCACCTTACAGGCAGGGACAGATACCCCGCTGCTGCCGCCAGCCCGTCTGGGCGGACGGACCTGTTTGACGATCCCTCCTACGTCAACGTGCAGAACCTGGAGAAGGCCCGGCAAGTCAGTCTGAGCACCGCCACCAACGGCAGTGTCCAGAGAGATCTCTTTGATATGAGTGAGTTGGGGGGGGGGGTTTGCTATGTAACGGCCTCTCATGGTTCCTCGTGGGGATTGCAGTGGTTTTGTTGGGCTGTCCGGCACTTCGGGGGGCATCGTTGCAGCCCTGAGAATTTCATCTCAGCTTGCACTGGAAGAGGCGGAAGGCCCCGAATTTCTCAGTTTCAGCCTCATGGAAAAGCAAGCACCACTGTCTCTGTTCTTTTATTGACTGAAAATTGGGGGGGAGAACTTGCGGACACTTCTGGAATTCTGACACAGCATGGTGGGGGCAGCTACAAAATGGCTGACACAAAATGGCCGACACCAGAGGCAGAGCCAGCCACAAAATGGCTGCCGCAGCTTCAGTCACACCATGAAGAGTCTTGTACTGTGGTGGCAGCTGCTGTCAAAGCAGTGTTTGTTTGTTTGTTTTTTAAATCTGCATAGCCCATCAAATCTCCAGTGGCTGATCAGAAACCTTCCTGGGCGAAAGCCCATCCGGGTCTGCCCCACTTTCCGAACAACTTGGTGGGCTCCACATTGGGGGGCCCTGACTTACACGCTGTATCACCTGTGTTTCAAAAATGTGATTAAAAATGAATGACTAAAAATATAACCTTCCTGAAATAAATAATAAGCTGAAAGTTACAGCCGCCAGCAAAACCCAATTGAATCGGAAAGTTATATTGGCCACCTGAAGGCCTAAACAAATAAATCTGTACGGCTCTCACATGAAGGGCCGACCTGGGGCCTGCTATAATTTGGGGCCTGCTATCGACAATGTCCTCCCTGCAATGGGTACCGCCCCCGTGAGAGGACAGGACCATCGAAAGGCGTTTCCCCCATTCGTAGGGTGGCTCCACACCAGCCAGTTGTGGCACAGTGGCCACTGTCGGTACATGTAGCAGTTGATGGTTCCCAGTGATATCAGTAACAGTGGTTTAGTGGTTACAGTGAGGAATTTCAGACAGGCGATATATTCCGGAAGAGGAACAGTTCCCAAACGGTTTCTGGTCTGTCATTTCAGACAGAACCATTTGAGAACCGGTTCCCTTCCGGAATATATTTGTCATTTCATACACAATCGCTTCTGTCCCGTTTAGGAAACGTGGCTGAAGCGTTTTACCTGTCAACCGCTTCCAAGTACTCCTCAGTTTCCTCTCCCGGTTCCGATGCACTTTTTCCCGTCGTTTTTCACCCGCGCGGGCGATCTCCAGCTTTTTTTTTAACATTTGCTTTATAGCGTTATAGCGATATAACGTTATAGCATCATATCAATCCCATTGGAATGCATGGAGTGTTTTGTTATACTGCTATAGCGCTATAGCGCTCTAAAGCGAACATTAAAAAAAAAGCCGGAGATCGCCCACACGGGTGAAAAACAGCGGGGGGAAACGGTGCAGTCTGAAATGGCAAACCACTTCAGATCCAGCTCTTTACTGGAAGGGGAAAGCCATGTGTGAAATGGCAGCCCTATACCGGTTCACTTCAAAACGGATCATTACCGGGTGAAACTGGGTAATGTGAAATTCCCCAGTGTCAGACAAGGATCTGGGAGACTCAGGTTGAAATCCCCACTCTGCATAGAAGCTCACTGGGGGACCTTGGGCCAGTCGCGCACACTCAGCCTAGCCTACCTCACAGAGTTGTGGTGAGGATAAGAGAAAGGAGAACGACGTAAGCTGCTTTGGGTCTCCATTGGGGAGAGAAGGGGAGTGTGAACAGTCAAATAGTGTGCAGGTCTGCATCAGTTTGGTGTAGTGGTTAAGAGCGCAGACTCTAATCTGGGAGAACCGGGTTTAATTCCCCACTCCTCCACATGCAGCAGCTGCTGTGACCTTGGGTCAGTCACAAGTTCTCTCAGAGCTGTTCTCTCAGGAGCAGTCCTCGAAAGAGCTCTCTCAGCCCCGCCTTCCTCACAGGGTGCTTGTTGTGGGGAGGGGGAGGGAAAGGACTTTGTAAGCCGCTCCGAGACTCCTTCAGGTAGTGAAGTGCGGGGTAGAAATCCAATCTCTTCATCTCGTATATATGTTCTGATTTTCCAGGTGTCGATTTCTAACTATTTTTGTTGTTCTCGTCATTTTTCTTCTTATTGTTATGGAACCAAAGTGTCGTTTCTGGGGGACAGATAGTCTTAGTTTGCAGCGCTGTGATGGTTTATCCTTCCCGTTCATTGCCACTTCCTGCCTTGTGACCCACAGCAACAATTACCTCAGTCAACGTTTGGAGGGAATTTTTCCCCCCTTTCCCTTCACATTATAATTGCCATGGATGACCAGCACCCATTTTTTAGCATGCCGTTCCCAAGCTGGCATTTTATTATTCTCTATTTACAGTTAAAACAGAAAATAAAATGCATCGTTATAACTTGAATGTCGCCTTATCCTGGTCTCTCTCTGAGGCGTTCAGGAATCATGATAGCGCCCCCTCCCCCTTTGTCCTCATAGCTGCCTTGTGAGGTAGGTTAAGCTAAGGGAATGACTGGCCCAAAGTCACCCTGCAGAGGTTCATGGCTGAGGAGTGGGAATTTGAACACAGGTCTCCCTGGTCCTAGTTTGATGCTAACCCCCTCTGCTATGCAAGCTTTCAGATGTGTGGATCCCCCAGCTGGAATCCAGCATGCACTGAATGCCAGAGCAGCATCACTCGGCTTGGAGAGAATGGTCCTGTAGATCAGAGGGGTTGTGGTTGAGTGGCAGAGCATCTGCTTGGCACACAGAAGGTCCCCGGATCAATCCCCGGCATCTCCACTTAAAGGACCAGGCAGTGATGTGAAAGACCTTCCTCTGCCTGAGATCCTGGAGAGCTCATGCCAGTCTGAGTAGGGGCCGTGGCTCAGTGATACAGCATCTGTTCGTCATGCAAAAGGTCCCCAGTTCAATCCCCGGCATCTCCAGCTAAGAGGACCTGGCAGTGGGTGCTGTGAAAGACCTCTGCCCGTGACCTTTGAGAGCAGCTGCCAGTCAGAGTAGACAATACTGACCTTGATGGACTGATGGTCTGATTCAGTAGAAGGTCCCTGGTTCAATCCCCAGCATCTCCAGCTAAGTGGACCAGGCAGTGGGTGCTGTGAAAGACCTCTGCCCGTGACCTTTGAGAGCAGCTGCCAGTCAGAGTAGACAATACTGACCTTGATGGACTGATGGTCTGATTCAGTAGAAGGTCCCCGGTTCAATCCCCAGCATCTCCAGCTAAGAGGACCTGGCAGTGGGTGCTGTGAAAGACCTCTGCCCGTGACCTTTGGGAGCAGCTGCCAGTCAGAGTAGACAATACTGACCTTGATGGACTGATGGTCTGATTCAGTAGAGGGCAGCGTCTTGTGTGGGATCTCGAAGCAACTAGGAGGCACCAATTAGGAAAAGGCCCCCGAAACATTCCCCCTTCTCCATCCTTCCCCTCCTCAGAGCCATTCGAGGACGCCCTGCGCGTGCCTCCCCCCGTGCCGCCGGCCCAGCTGGTGGCGTCCATGGAGGAGCAGCTGCGCCGGGAGCCCTGGTACCACGGCCAGATGAGCCGCAAAGAGGCCGAGAAGCTGCTGCAGGCCAACGGGGACTTCCTCGTGCGGGAGAGCACCACCACGCCGGGCCAGTACGTGTTGACCGGCCTGCAAGGGGGACAGCCCAAGCACCTGCTTCTCGTCGACCCCGAAGGAGTGGTGAGTCTCTCGGGCCGGGGCGGTGGCAGAATCCAGATCCCCTTTGCACAATCCGTGGATCTTGAACGTAGACTCCTCAGAAGCTTCCTGGGCATGGCACACGGGGTGTGGGGGGCACTTTCAGCATCTCCGTGGCCACTGTTGTTTTGTGGACGGGGGAACTTCTCCTAGAATGGGGGAAGTCTTGTTCCGCTACTTTCCAATCCCCCACCATCTCCTAGCTTTAGGGCAGGGGTGTCGAACTCATTTGTTATGAGGGCCAGATCTGACATAAATGAGACCTTGTTGGGCTGGGCCGTGTGTGTCATGAAATGTAATACCAGGTAGCGGAGATATAAACTTTATAAAGGACACAAACACAAAGCTTAAAGGGAACCTAGATGGGCACCCACAGGCTTGCAAGACGGAGCTCTTCTGCCAGTGCTTTGCATAGGAGCCGCCGCCGTCACTGTACCACCACCGAGTTGCTATCTTCGACGGTGGATTAGTTCTGGAGGTGAGCCGGCCCTGGGCAGACACCTAGGTAACCAAAGAATGCATGCTGTCAGGTTAGGTTGATGAATGAACTCATCTTGGATTGAGAAAAATTTTAACATCAAGAGCACCGCACTTCATTTAATTATTGACTTTACTGTGTAATGATTGTTTTTCTAATGTTTTAACTGTTGTTATGGCAATTGCCTTTGTTGTAGCCGCCCTGAGCCTGCTGGGGAGGGTGGGGTATAAATCTAACAAATAAATAAATAAATGTTGGGGACTCTTGTTCTAACTTGGGCAGACAGAGACAAGTTTTGGGCAATGCTCCCTCTACGCTGTGAAGTCTTGTGAGCAAAAATTCTACTTTGGGAGCTTACCAGCATTAAAGTTGTGAGCGAGCGATTTGGCTCCCGCATGAATTAGTCTGCTCTGGAGCCATCCTTCCCGAGCTAAGGCAAAAATGGGTGAGCCGGAGGCTAAAAAACTGTGAGCTGGCTCACACTCACTCAGCTTACAGAGAACACTGTTTCTGGGTCTCTAGCGCTACTGTTTGTCCCTGTACAGGTCCGAACGAAGGACCACCGCTTCGAGAGCGTCAGCCACCTCATCAGCTACCACATGGACAATCGGTTGCCGATCATCTCGGCGGGCAGCGAGCTCTGCCTGCAACAGCCTGTGGAGCGGAGGCCTTGAGACGCCAGGGGGCTGGGCGCACCCCACCCCCACCCTGTCTTCTCCTTCTGGCTGTTCCTCCCAGGCCAGCCCACCTTCCGCGGGGCCCCACTTCTCCGCCGGCCACACCGCACGGGCTCTCGCGCCCCGTCTCGCCAGGTGTCGCGGCTCCCGTCTGGACCGTCAGCAAGAGGGACACCATTTCTGCCAAAGCGTCTCCCTCTTTCCCCGAACCGGATCCCGGCCCCCGTTTGGTAGCGGAAATCCGCCTGATCGCTTTGACCCGCCCGTCACCGCTCACGGGATTCTTCATTTCTCACGAAAGAAAGTCCGGGAGTGAAACTGCCTTTCCCTCCCCTTCATCGAAGCCCCTCCAGGGTGCTAGTCCTTAGTGAGGGTGCTGGATTCCTTTTACTTCCTCGTCCCACCACCACTCTGATTCCATGCTCCCAACGTCCTGCCCCTCTGCCAGGTAGCCTTGGGAGGGCACACGGCCTGCTCCCGGTCCCCGAAGCGGCGGGACGGGAGCCGCCGATTCCTTCCGCAAGGGGTGCGCCCCGTCGAATCTTCCTCCCTGCGGACCCAGCCATGCCAAAGTCCCTCATCGTATCTGGGGTGGGGGGAGCAGAGGCCGCCGACCCTCAAAAGCACAAAAAGAGGGCCCGCCGCCCTGCTCTCAAACGCGTAACCCCCCCACCCCCCCCCTTTGACATATTAACTCTGTGTGCCTTGACCCTTTTACAGGTCTGAGATTTTATGCAAAGCCCCCCCCGTGCTCTGGTGGCACAAACCTCACCTGTTCTTTTTTTTGGGGGGGGGGGGGGCGGGGAGAAAAGGGGGAAAAAGGAGCCGCCCCCCTAACCCCCCCCCCCCCCCATTA